CTTTTTTTTAAGTAGGAATGTTTTAGAATTGCCTTATAAGGGCATCTAGTTTCTCTCTGTCTTAACTAAAATAATAAGTAATTTTAAAATTAAAATAAGATAAGTATTTAGACTAATAAGCTTATTAGTAGCTAAGTTATTTTATAGTTATAAAGTACTGCAAGTTCTTATAGTTAGATAGGACCTGTATTAGATGCGCTGCACTTTTTAGTTTAGGTTGCTATTATTTAAAGCAGTGTACTATAGTAAGTAATTTTTTATTATAGATCTTATAATTACCTTCTACAGGACTTATTCTTTTTAAAAAGTATGTAATAGGCCTAATAGTCCTGTCTAGCTTAGTCTAGAAAAGAACTTCTACTACTATGTAGTCTAAAGCATTAGCTTCTACAAGTATTAGTAGTTTAAAGTTAAAGTAGCAGAGTATTAGGGCTTTAGTAAAGGCTTTTTTTAGCTAGTTAAAAAACTATTAGTAATTTAGGTTAAAGTTAAATTAAATTTTTTTTTAGTAAGTGTAATTATAGAGCTTACTTACTATAAAAAGTTGTTAATAAATTATTAGTAAAAGTTAGTAAATTTTATAAAGGCTTAAATATCTTTTATATTTTTTAAGTATTACTAATCTAGCACAGTCTAAACCTTAATAGGGTCTATTTAGATACTATTTATAAAAATTATATATTCTAAATATATAACCTTTAATTAGTAGAACTTACATTTATTTATGTTAAGTTATAGACCTGCTTTTTTTATAGCCTTTAGCACTAGGCATACATGCTGTTTATGCTCTAAAAGGCTATTACTATAGATTAGAATATTATTAATATACATAGTGCAGAACATGTTTAGGTAGAGTTAGAGTAAGTTATTTATAAAATATTAAAAAGTACTAGGCGTGTTAGCTAAGCTAAAGGGCATTACTAGGTACTTAAATAGTTTATATTAGGTCTAAAACACTATTAGCTACTTATTACCTTTTACTATTTTTAGCTTATTAAAAGCAGTAATAATATCTAACTTTATAAAATACTTTACTTTACTTAGTTAGCTTAGAGTTTTTTGTAAAAAAAGAATTAAGTATTAGTTTTTAATAGTAACAGCATTTAGTCCTTAGTAGTTAATATAAAATTAAAGCCTACCCTTAGGTTTTTTTATAAATAGTATAAGTAACACTACTAGTAAAAAGCTAGCTTAAATAAACTCTTTTTTTAAGTTTTTATTAAGGTATTTTTAGAGCACTTTTAATTTATTTAGTAACATCTTATATAGTAGCCTATAACTAGGTTGTTTACTAGGCTTAAAGGTTATTTAGTAATTATATAAATGTTATATAAAAAGCTTATTAGACTTGTCTTAAAAAAAACATGTAACAAGTTATAGTAGTCTTAAGAGACTATTATTCTTAAGTTAATGTGTTTTTAAAGAGCTAAAGCTTAGTCTATATTAGAAATTATAACTACGTAGATTTTATAATCTAGTTATTAAGCTAGAGTTATAAATAGAGCAGGTTCTATATAGCAGATGTCTATCTACTGTTTAAGTTCTAGTTTATGTTTAAATTAAGTAAGTAAAAATTTTTTAAAAGCTTTTTTTTCTTTAAGTTTAAGTAGTTATTAAATTATTTTACATAGCCTATTTTAGTAAAAGGCCTAGCTTATTAGCCTTACTTAGGTAGTTCTTTTCTAGGTTATTAAAAAGTAGGTGTAAAAACCTTCTATATTAAGTGCTACTTAGGTGTTGTTTAGGTGTAAGCATAAGCATATATCTTAGCATTAAAAAGAGTTAAAGTTTAGGACTTACTCTTAGTAATTAAAAGTAACTTTATGCTAATACAGCTATAGTTGTCCTAGAATTAGGTTATAACATTCTATGTTTATTACATAGAGCTTAATTTACTTTTTATAGTGTTAGTAAGTAATTATAACAGTTATAGTATAAAAAATAGAACCTTTTTTAAGTTATTTTCTATTAAATCTAGTTAAGTAAATTATTTAGGTAAGTAGTGTTAATTAAAGATTTAGTTTATGCACTAGTTTTTTATTAATGTAACCTATGCTATTTACTTCTAAGTTAATAAAAGCTTATATTAAGGCTAATACAGTTCTTTATTATAAATATATAGAAATATTAACTTAGTACTTTTAGTTATTAGTAGGGGACTTAGCCTATAGGTTAGTAAAGATCTAGGGTTAAATTAGTCTTAAGAGGTAACTTAGCCCTAGAATAAGCCTTTTTACAGGCTCCTACTACTATAGCTGCAGCTACATTAAGAGTAGTAAAAAAAATTAAGGCTTAAATATAAGTTAAAGCCTTTACAGAAATAAAATTAAAATAGTAAAAATCTTTAATAAGTGCTAGCAGCGCTACTTGCGTAGACTTAAAAAAAAGAAATAAAGTAGTTTTAGAAAATATAACTATGCTTACTACACTTAAAGTATTAACTTTTTTTTTTTATAATTTTTACACTTTTTAGAACTAACTAGAGCATAATTTAAATTAATTTTTATTACATTAAAGTCTTTATTTGCAACTGCGCTAGTTTAAGGGCGTATTAGGGCTTATACAAGGAGGAACCTTATGTTATTATTATAAGTAGTAATTAGGTTTACATACATGTTAAGGTTATTTAGAAAGGGTTCTTCTACTATAGCGTGTTACAGTTTAGTTAAAAAGGAGTTATATAAAGCTATAATTAAACCTATTTTATTTAGGCTTATATTAAATGCAAGTTAGCAGAACTTAGTAAAGTGTAAAGTAAAGCTTTTTTTTTTTATTATAAAGTGTTTAGGTAACTTAGAGCTGTTAACTTTTTATTTAAGTCTTTATAAGTTACTTATAAAAACACTATAAATTAATCTAGGTTAATAATATTCTTTTTTATTAGTAAGTTAATTAAGGCTATTACATTATAGTTAAGTTAAAAGTAGGCATATAGTAACTAAAAGTGTTTAAAGAGAAATTAGTTTATGTTTTTTTTAAGTTTATATTAAAGCTTATGTAGAAAGAAAAGTAAGTCTTTCTATTTTCTATTAAACAGCAGGGGATTAGAGAGTTAGTTAAATTTTATTACTAAGTTAAAAAAGTTATAAGTTATAAGTAGTGTTAGGTAAAAAAAAGTTAAGCTATCTCTAGACTTCTAAGTAAGCTTTAAGGCTAGTAAGTTCTTAGTTTCTACTACTATAATAAAAGTTAAGGCAGAAATAGACTGCTTAATAACATAAAGCTATTTTTTAAAGTTCTTTTAAAAAGCTTTAAAGCTTATAATATAGCAGCTTTTTTATAAAGTAAGCGCTTTTTAAAAGGCTTTTTAGCTTACTTTAATAGCTTAGAGTTATGTAAGTACTAAGCTTATTAGATTAAATTTAAAGGCTATTTTTAGCTAAAGTTTTAACACAACATAATGTTATAATTATGCATAAGTAAGGTTATAGAGCTTTACAGAAGTCTAGTTTAATTACTATATAAGGTATTATAGTAAGTATAAGATGTTATGTAAGGAATAAGAAGGTTTAAAAGAAAATTAGTAATTAAATACTTAGCTTAAAAGTCTAAGCGCTTTAGGTATAAATTAAGCCTATTCTAGGTTTAGTTAGTGTTAAGGTAGTTTATGCTTAAGTTTATGTCTGTGTTGTGTTGTGTTTATGTTAGACGTGCACTAATAATACTCTAGTACGCGTCTAATACAGTTATGTCTGGGATCCGGGGAGGATACCGTGACACAAGGCAACAGTAGGTAAGGTAGCAATAAGTGTGTTAGTAGACGTAACTTAGACTACTAAGATAAAAACAGGTTAGAAAAAAAGGTAAACAGCAGTCTAGCTGTTAGTGTTGTTTAAGGGCTTTAAAAAGTAGCAGTAAAAGTAGTGTTAATGTCTTAGTAGCTAAGAAAATCTAGTATTATATTTACTAATAGACAGTCTTGCTTATAGAACTTAAGTAGATCTTTATTACTTAGTTTTATAGCTTTATAAGGTAACATAATCTTTATTTTATAGATTAAGTAAGTATATATATATTCTTAATTCTTATTCTTTTCTGTGTATATAAAGCTGCATGTTGCTAGCTGCGTTAAAGATGCAGCTACGCATTTCTATGTAGATAGAAACATAGTGTGATGTGACTAAATTGTTTAGAAGGATTGCAACGCGTTAGACAATAATAGTGAATTAGTTTAGCATAGGTAAGACAGTAACAGTGAAGCGGTTCAGTGTGTATACGTGTTCGATGGCGGCGGCGAGGTAGGTCGGCTCGATGGAGGTGATGCAAGTGACGATAGAGTCTCAAATATATTCGAATTTGCTCCTGCTGCCATTTTTCCTCCTGAACTCTATACCTACATAGTTCTTTAGTAAGGCAGCTATTATAATAGCAGTGTGTTAGGAGGAGGCTAACAAATTTTTAGCCCCCCGCTTTTGTTTGTGTGGGCGCGCTAACTGATTTGAGCATCCCGCAGCACCAACCAAATCTGGCCTAGCCATGGTTGGCCTTGGCACAACCATGGTTGAGTGACCTGCTGCCTGGCGGCAGAGCAAGTTGGTGCTCTGTGCGCGCCTTGACTTGAGGGGAACAGTTTGCCGCTGATGATTATATTAGGCATCCTGCTACATATTTCTTGAAACATTCGGGATCTATTGGTGTAGTCCGCCTTTATTGATGTCGCGGGAAATTTCCAAAACAAGAGCCTGGATATTATTCTATAGAGCACCACCCATGGCGCTTACGCTGCCGGTATACACCATGGAATACGCCGTTCAGATAGATATAAAGGGCAAGTCGCTGTGGTTGGAGAGACCATTAGAACCCCAAGACCTTCAGAACAAGCTCCGCATCACGAATACTAATTATCTGCTGAACTTCTATTCATCCGCTCATCTTATTTACTAAAACCCTACTCCATTCGCTCAGCATGTCCTACCAGCTTCCAGCACAGGAAGATGTTACCAGCACGGTCAGTCAAGGATAACCAATCCTTTATTGGACGTAACTGACAACGATACCAGTACATGGCCAATCAAATGGTCGCCTGGCTCATCAAAAATAGGCTTGTTCCCGGGCAACTGGAAGGCGAGACCGCTCGAGTTTGGAATACAATCCTGCAAATCGAATTCCCAGCGACGGCCGGTTATGCCACTGGTCCGGAAACCCAAATCGCTGGCCATCGAGCGGACCTTTTCACTACTCACATCGTCTTCGGAAATCAAGCACCGGAATTCAAGTTCCTTATTGTCGAATGCCCGAGGCCGGCCGTGGAAGGACAAAATCAAGTCTGGCAGGATGCCGGGGCCCAACTCAAGACTTATCTCTCCGGCATCGCCAGCAGTAGGTCCGGCGGAAGGAAATTTGGCGCAGTCGCAGTGGGGAAGGTGGTTAGATTCTATGAGTGGGACAACGATTCTAGTAGCCTTAATTTGCTCGCTAACGGTGACCACTTCTACCTTGATCGGCAATGCGCAAGCGTCACTCGGTGGTTGAGGTTCTTCCGCGACAACCATCAGTAGGCGTCATGGGTCGAACCGGATTGAGCGGTGGTTGGAAGTTGCACCAATGTGTTAGATATCTATTATACTAGGTTTTTCACTATGTTAAGTAGCTTAAGTAGTAACATACACCACAGGCGAGTTGCTTACACACCTAAGTTGCTTACTTTTACTTTTACTACACTAAACTACTCTTCCTACACTAATGCATTTCTAACAATACTACTTAGATGTGTTAGAGACACATTAAATATAACTTATACCCTACGCTTTTAAATAAGAAGTAACACTCTTTAAGTAACATAATATACTTATGTATAAAGTCTTTTTAAAAATAATAAATAATTAACACGCTAGATAACCTTTATAAAGGCTAGATAATCATAAAAAGCAAGAAATTAGTAAGTATATACTTAGGCTAAATGTGTAAGGATTTTCCTCTTAGCTAGTAGCTGTAGCTAATATAGCTAATTCTTTCCACGCTAAGCATAATCTAAGCTATGTTTATAAGGTTAGATATTCTAGAGCAAGCTAGTATAGCCTTACTTAACCTGTTTAGGGGTCACATGACCTGTGCTTTGTATATAAGCATGAATTCTAACCAGTGCTGGCGATAGATCGATCCGATTCGTGGATCGATCTGAATCCACGCTATCCTGAATCTGGATTAGATTCTTGAATTAATTTATAGTCTTGGCTAAAAATTTGCTTCCCTATTAACAAAACAACTTTAAAAGTCTTGTACAATAGAATTCTATAAATTAAGCTTAACTCTAGTGCCTAAAAATAAGGGCGGTGACATTAGAAACTTTATATAACTACTAATGTCTAATAAACCTACTAAACAAAACAGCTGTCTTCTTTAATACTGCAATTTCTATAATTGCAACTACGCTTTAAAAGTTATTATAAACTTTTAAAGGCACTTAAAATCTAACTACTAAGTTTTAGTAAAGGGTACTCTTTCTTTTATATAACAAGCAGGTGCTATTAAACTCTAAGAGCTATAGAACTGCGCAGAACCTTGCATAAGAGGAGATATATAGAATGCTGCGTTTAGAGCCTATCTAGACAAAAATATTATTTAAAAGGCTCTTATACAACTAATTGTTTAACAGTGTCTTACTCTTTTAGTTGTTAAATTATTATCTTTTTAGGCTTTTATATAAGCATTAAATCCTGTTGCTAGAGAGGCTATTCTAGTTTTACACTTTACTATTTATATAGTAATCTAAAGCTATTAGTATAAAGAGAAGCTTATTCTTTAGCGCAAGATTTAGACAGCAACCTTAAAGATTAATGTTGCGCTTAATCTCTAGACCTCTCTAAACTAAATCCTATTTATTGCAATTACTAGACACTTTATATAAAGCTTAGATAATACTGTTACTAAACACCTTTTTGCTTTATAACTAGTCTTAGGCTATTCTAGTAAAGAACAGTTCTCTATACTTTATACAGTACTTAAGAAGTACAAGATTACTAGAAATCTAGGAGCAGTTGTTAGAGATAATGCTAGCACTAATAACACTCTTTATTATATAATTAGTAAGTAGTATTCTAACAAACTTAATCTGCATTAAGATTCTAAGAATAAAAGAGTTTACTATCTTAGTTATATTATTAATTTTATTATGTAAGCATTTCTGTTTTTAAGTTTATATAAAAGTTATCTTAAAAATTTTAAAGCTGCAGACTTTAAAGAAGCAAATAAATTGCCCTCTAATTCTGTATAATAAGATATAATTAGAGCTATTAGTCCCCTTAGTAAACTTTACAACATTATAGTCTATATTTGTAGTTTAGGGCTTTATATAAATAAGTTTATCTTGTAAGCTAGACAGATAATATTCTTAGATAATTATATAAGATAGAACAGCTAGTATTATATAATTAATATAGTAATTAAGCTTTAAATGCATGTAGATTTTTATGTTAAAAACTAACCTAATCTTAAATATAATACTTTAAAGATAAAGGATTAGAAAATGCTTTATATAATAAAAACATTCTTGCAGATTTTTATAAATGTAATCCTCTAAAATAAAGAAGATGCAAAATGCCTTAGACAGGCTCTTCCTTCTCTATAGATCTTACAGACTTACATAATAGCTTTCTTAGCAAAACATAAGAAAGAAAATATATAATTTAATAAAGATTATATTATATAAGCTACTTAGGCACTTACAGCATAGCAAAAATAGTAGAACTTACTTTAAAAGTATTTTTTCTACTAAATTACAATAGTTTTGCATTCTTATTATTATATAAACTAGGCTAATAAAGTAATGCTTGCCTTAAGGTTCTTTACTAAAGACTAAAAAGCATAGAAAGCTTAGCTAAAATAATTCTAGCTTAATTTTTAATCTAAACATTAAGATTTATTATTAACACCTCTCTAAAGTAAAGCGCAAGAGTAAAGAAGATAACAGGCTACTTGTTGTACAACAGCATAGATTATTCTTAAAGTCTAAGATTATTTAATTAAAGCTATAACTAAGTAAATTCTTAGTAATTAGGCTTTAGTAGAGAATCTAGATAAGTAGGCAGAGTATACAGGAGAGCTAGCAACAAAGGGGGTTAAAGATGTGTTAAAATAGTAGCAGGATAACATATAATAATCTTAGTAGCCCTTTTTTACTTATCTTGCACTTAAGATTTACTTTATACTACTTATAAGTAATAAACTAGAACATATCTTCTCTAGAGCATGTTGTATAATCTTTTAGACTTAAGCATTATTAAATCTTAATATTATTAAAGTAATTAAATCTTTAAATTACTAGTTAAGTTAAAAATAAGTAAACTATTTAAAAAGGTAAAGATCTTTATTTCCTATCTTATTTTTTACTTATAAAAAGACTGTTAATTTTAAGTAATTTATTATATAATGTTCTAGCGCCTATTCTTATTATTGCTCTCTAGCTCCTTAATTTTGTACAGGTAATCTATAATAATGTTGTTTGCACTAGAAGACAAAGTTGCTAGGGGACCTATACTATTGTTAGGTGTTAGATAATACTAATTAGGTTAAGAGCTATTGTGGTGACTATAATAGGCAGCCTAATCTTTAAATTTATAATTAGCGCAAGCAGCTGCCTACTTAGACAAGAGTAAAACACACTTTAAAAATAGACTACAGTAAGGATAGCTAGTACACTCTACTATGCAAGTTAGTTATTATACAACATGTAAGATAAAAGGCATATAGTAAGGTTTTATGTTAATAGTACTATAAGTCTAAATTAACACTGCATTAACATATAATAGGTAGTAGGTATTTAATTAGAAGGCATAAAAGGTGCTACTGTAGTATTTAACATTATTGCAGGGTGCAGAGAGAACCTGTTTCTGCTAGATCTAAAATTATTAGCTTATTGTACAATAAGAGGAGTAACTTTTAGTATGCGCTACAACTTCTAGAGCTGCTTGTACGTTTAGGTTAGAGGCAGCAGGAAAAACCTAGATGCATCTTTTGCGGCTATTATTACTATGCTGCTTCTAGCTATTTTTATTATTCTTCTTAGCGTTCTAAATTGCAATGTCTATGTTTTTATATAATAAGATAAAAAGAAGATACTTTCTGTAATGCTTATTATATAGGGTAGGGCTTAATATACATTTTTCCCTCTATTGTTTAGATTTTAAGCTATTAACTGCTCCTATTATAAATAGAATTCTATTGTCCTAAGCTAAATTTTTATTAAATGTTTGTTGTATAACTTATTAAGAGTATAATAGCATAAAAAATTAAATAAAAGACTAATTGTTTAAAATAGTTGCCTATTTAGCCTTAGCGCTAGATTGATTCATAGATCCGATCCAGATCCAGGATAGCGCCACGTGATTCCGGATAATCGATTCGGACCGATTCCCGCCAGCACTGATTCTAACAAGCAAGGTGTTACAATCTCTACTTCGAAGAAATGGTGTCTAGAGTACTCAGGGCCTGGGAGGAGGGTTAGGTATTAGGAGTTGGGAGAACCTAGACTGTCACAGGTGTACAGTCCGCGAAGCCTGTAACGATTCTCACGAATCGTTCCATCTCGGGTCGCTTAGAACCTATCCGAAGGGTCCCTGTATCAGCCCCGACCATGACTTAACCCTGTCCCCTGCAGTTACCCCTATTCCTTTATGTATTTAGTTGACCCTTGCCATCTTAGCTAGCTTAGTAGTTTTTTAATATCCTTTTATACAAGGCCTATAGGTGTTAATAGAATTCCTAGGTTCTAAGTCCCTACACACTTCTATATGCCTTTAAGTAGATTCCTACTACATTTAGACCTATTATCTTGCCTATGCTGTTACATTATATTAGAAAACTTACTTTTACTAGTAATAGCCTTATTAATAATATTATATTATTTATTTATTTAGCTACATTTAGCTTTAAAAAGTGTTTAATTTAGTTTTAGTTATAATCTTTACACACTACTATAACGTACTTCACAGGCGAGTTGCTTACACACCTGAGTTGCTTACTTTTACTAAGACCCTACTAAACTACTCTTCCTACACTAATGCATTCCCTACAACACTACTTAGATGCGCTAAAAGAACATTAGATACAGCTTCCGCTTTAAGCTTTTAAATAAGACATAAAACTCTTAAAGAAATATGCTATAGCTATATGTAAGGTCTTATAAAAGATAATAAATAACTACAGCACTAGATAACCTTTATAAGCTAATTCTATAGCTAAATTATAAAGGCTAGGTAATAAAAAGAAGCAGGTGATTGTTAAGACTATACTTAAGCTATATGCGTAAGGAATTTCCTCTTAGATAGCATTTATAGCTAATATAGCTAATTCTTTGCGCGCTAAGCGTAATCTAGGCTATGTTTACATAAACTAGCCTAGTACGTTTGTAAAGTGTTATTTAGAGCTTAAAGTAACATTTAAGCGTAAGTATAACTATAAAAGAGCTTTTTATAAGAGTCCTAAGGTAATTTAGAGCAGGTTTAGCCTTATAGAGAATATTAAAGCTAAGTATAGCATTTAGAATAATAACACGTACAAC